GTTAAGAAACAATCAACAATAGATTAACTCAAGTCATGACTAAGGTCATTCTTCCAAAACATGTTTAAGAAAAAAAAAAAAGATAAGGGTGGAAAAGCAGACAGCTACAAGGTGGAGAAAAATGAAGAGAAAGACAAGAAAAAGGGAAAGAACATTATCATGTCTTGACATCAAACCAATTAAACAAAATATGTGAAATAAAATGTTATTTCTATGTTAGACCTCTCACCTTTTATTATTAAATCAGTTTCAGTTTTATGCCATTGGTGTATGTATGCATTAACATGAAATAGCAACAGTACTGCCAAACACATAACTGATTTGGGGACTAAAAGTCACATACAACACAAAATAGATACCTTTTTGCCTTTTATTATTAAATCGGTTTCAGTTTTATGCCATTGGTGTATGTATGCATTAACATGAAATAGCAACAGTATTGCCAAACACATAACTGATTTGGGGACTAAAAGTCACATACAACACAAAATAGATACCTTTTTGATGTCTTAAATACATTTTGTCTACTTTCTCTTATGCTGTAAAATTTCCAGGGATCCATATTGTAAAAAAACTAAAACCATAGATCAACGATAAAAATAAGTCATTAACAAAAAGTAAATTAGTAGTAGTAGCCCAGGGCTGTGGGAAAAGGAAGTGGAAAATCGGGAGTAACTGTTAAAGAACACAAGGTTTCTCTTTAGGGTGATGAAAGTATTTTCAAATTATATTATGGTGATGGTTGCACAACTCCATAAATATACTAAAAGCCATTGAAATCTCTAAATGGGTGAACATTATGACACATAAATTATATCTTAATAAAGCTGTTTAAACAAACAACTCGTTACATAACTTGAAGTAGGATCCCCAAAACACTTATTTAAACCATATGTATGAAAAGTATAACTCATTTAATAAGCCAAAAACACATATTTTTAATGATTTCTACATTTCAGCTAACGTCTGATGTAACTTAAGTGGCCTAGTTTATTACAGTCATTTTTAATATAAAATAATGGGGTTTGTTTTCAAAAAATGTAGGAATTATATACATTTGACAATTCCAAAATAAGTAGAGTTAAGGAAGGCATGATACCTTACTTTGTTCATAACCATAATTAATTCTTCATGAGAACATTATAATATGATCCCAATAGATTTTAAAGTTTTTTTGAATATAGATCATTAGCCCAAGTTAGCCAAAAATCAGAGATCATAAAAACAGGGGCTTTAAAAGGAGAGCACATGAGAGTCTCTCTCTCTCTGCTCCACCATTTTCTGCCATATGAGACTCCTGCATTGCTGTAAAGCCGCCACCAAAGAAGACCCTCACCAAATGTGTTCCGTGGACTTGGAGTTTCCAGCCTCTGAAACTGTAAGCAATAAACTTCATTTCCTTACAAATTAAAAAAAAAGGATCATAAGAACTTATTCAGAAAGTATTTTATATACTTGACAGAGGATTACATAGTCCATAACATACTTTCTACAGCTTGATGTACTGAGTTTTAAATGTCATAATTACTATGATACAAATAATTCCATCTGAAAATATTATATATCCTAATAACATCTATTTATGTAATACTAGTTATTTTTATTAGTATTTCATTGTAAATCTCTTTCCATTCTAATACTTTTAATCTATCTATATCTTTATATTTAAAGCATGTCTTTTAAACCCAAAATGAGAAATTTGTATAAAGTGGGTGGGGGACATACTTTTTAAAAATGCCACTGTCCAAAAAATGGTATTAAGTCCAACATCTTGCATTTGGGTTCTACTTGTCCCACCTTTGCTTTGTTCTTTATCTTTTCTTTCTTCTTTCTTCTTTGTTCTTCATTTCCTGCTTTCTTTTGAATTAATCAAATATTTAATCACTGTTCAATTTTATCCTCCCTACTGGTGTGTTTACAGCCATACATCTATTTTACAATTTTTTTTTCTTTTTTTGTCCTTTTTGAGACCGGCCGTACCGCGCTCAGCCAGAGAGCGCTGTGAGCGCACCAGTCATCCCTATATAGGATCTGAACCCGCAGCGGGAGCACTGCTGCGCTCCCAGCACCACACTCTCCCGAGTGTGCCACGGGCTCGGCCCCTATTTTACAATTTTAATGTTTAGTCTAGGGATGAAAATATGCATCCTTAACTTATCATAGTCCACCCTCAACATTGTACCTCTTCATGTTTAATGGAAGAAACTCACAAGAGCACAGTTTCACTTACTCTACTCCCATCCTTTCCATAATTACTGTCATATATTTTATAAAATTCACATACATTATTATAGGTTTTGATTTAACCAGAAATATTTAAAAATTAAGAAATGAGAAAAAAGTATTTTATTTTTCCCCACATACTCACCTTTTCTGGCCCTCTTCATTTTTTTTTTTTTTTCCTGTTCATTTGAGATACTATCTGGTATCATTTTGCTTCAGCTTGAAAAACTTTCTATAACATTTCTTGAAGTGCAGGTCCAGTGCTGACCAATTCTTACAGCTTTAGTTTATTGGAAAATGCCTCTATCCACTTCAAAGGATAGTTTCAATTAATACAAATTTCTAAATTGACAGTTTTTTGCTCTTCCAGTGCTTTCAAGATACACTCATTGATTTTTGGCTCACATTGTTTCTGATGAGAAGTCAGTAATAATTTCTATCACTGTTTCCCTGTAAGCAATGTGTCTTTTTTCCTCTGTTTATTTTTAAGATTTTTTTCTTTGGTTTTCAGCAACCTGATTATGGTGTGTCTGGGTGTTAGTTTCCTTTGTGTCAATCTTGCTTGGGATTTGTTGTACTTCTTGGATCTGTGGGTTTATATTTTGCAACAAAAACAAATCTGGAAATTTGGGAGCATTATTTCTTCTGATATTTTTCTGTCCCAACTCTCTGTCCCTCTCCTTCTGTACCTGCAGCCACACAATTGTTAGACTACATGATAATGTCCTATAGGATATTATGGCTTCATTCATTTTTCTTTTCAGTCTGTTTCTCCTGTGCTTTGGTTTGGATGATTTAGACTGATCTATCTTCAAGTTCACTGATCCTTTCTTCTCCAATATGAAATCCACTGCTAAACCCATCTGGTGAATTTTTCATTTCGCATATTAATTTCTATCAACCTTCTTAGCCTGGCTATGAGTCTTATTTTCCTGCTTTTTTACAAGTATCATAATTGCATGCTAGACATTGTGGATGCTTCATTATTGAGAATCTGGATCATGTTGTCATACTTCAGAGAAAGTTTTGTTCTGTCAGGCAGTTAATTTACAAGAGGATGAAGCAGATACCGTAGAGACTTGGTTTGGGGCTTTGTTATGAGAGATCTACAGTAGCCCTATTCCTAAGGCATGACCTGAAAGCACAGGATGTTCAGCATGCTCTCCCCACACTGATTAGTCCAGTCCCAAAATTTACAAGCATTTTGCAACTTCTGGAAACTCCATTCAGCTCACAATACCACAGTAGCTGTTTTCTGCTAAGCCTGAATAAAGAAATCAAAGGCACTCTTTTTTTAATTTTCTGGGCTCCCACTCCATGCAATTTCCTTCCCTCCAATAGCCTAACCCACATATTCCAACTGCCTTGACGTCCCTGAACTCTGATCTCTGCTTCCTCTGCTTAGAGAGTCTGCTGCTATCTGTTTGTTTAGGCTTCACTGCCCTATGGCATAGTTTGGAAAGTGCCCAAAGGAGGATGCAGAGATGAATGTAGAACTCACCTCATATGTTCTCTTCTCTCAGCTGACTGTGCTGACTACCTTAGTCCACACAGTTTTATAGTTGCTTACAGCAAAAAGTAACTTCATCAATAGCCAGAACTAGAAGTCCCTAATTCTGTTCTTGAAATAGCTTTAAAATCTATTATCTTATTTCATTCATAAAATAAACATGTGACATGAAAGGCACATATTATTTCCATATGACAGATTAGCAAACCAAGATACAAAATGTTAAATAACCAGCCTCCAACCCATAAAGATATTTTATTCAATACACAAATATTTAAGCACCTACTACAACTACATGGTAATTGACATAGTGGTGAAAAGAACTCAGAGGATGCAGTTTCAGCCCATATTATTTCTACTGAACCATCAATAAAGAACATACACTATACCAAAAAAATATGTAATGATTGAACAACCACGAATCAATCATTCAATCCACCAGGAGCGTGCCTAGATTTTCAAAAATGACTACAATTTACCTTAATGATTCATTTTTTCCTGTAAAGACTATTATTTGCCCTGCAAGTAATTTCACTCCTAAATAGTTATATTTTCTATTCCCTACATATACTTAATTTTTTTTCATATTAGTAGGTACTGTCTAACCAAGTCACTTCTATTTAGTTATGTCAAACTTGCTTCAGCTAACTCTTAATTGTATTTCTAATTATCATATGGCAAAATCAAATATATTTTGCTGTCACATGGACAGAAAATTTCTAAAAACCATCTCAGTGTCATCATGCAAAACATACAAAATGACACTACTGTATCATTCCTCTTCAACAAATCAATCAAATTGATACATTTATACCTTACAGATTTATTCTCATCTTTCAAAATAAACTCTTCACCTGTCCTTTAACCCACCATATGCAAAAGTTGGCTGTAAGGAAATAAGTCAATAAAATTAAGCTACATAAGTATTTATAAAATAGTGTTTAAGGACATTTTAATATTTATTACCCCGATATATAACTAATTCCAGTGAAGTAAAGTACATTACAAGAGAAAGCCAGATACGGTAGTTCCTTGATTGCTTCACATTGAGAATCTGCTCCTAATTTTAAAGCCTGGCAAAAAAAGTTCATTGAAAGGTCTTCTGAAGACAGTAGAAGTTAATAACATTGCAGCATCACCTTTAAATTGAAGCATTATTTTCTCACCCTGTTTATGATTCTTAAGGTAATATTTTAGGTGGCTAGGTTTTTTGGTTGCTCTAAATTGTATTCTGAATCAAGATGATACCCTTTGAAAAAGCCCTTACCTGCAGAACATCTTGGATCTTCACCCACACATCTGCCATATCGTACAATTTGACATCTTCCTGCTGAGTTAGTGGGGCCACGACAGTGTCCTGCAGGTATCCCAGGACCATAGAGTGTGCAGTAGCTACAGCATTAAACTTGTCAAATAGTAACTCCAGCAGTTCTAGAAGTAACCTAATGGCAAAATAAACAAATAAATAACATTTATACAAATACATACACACAGAGAAAGATATACGATTTACGCTGACCTGCAAAAAAAACCCATTAAGACAAAGTAGCATACTACAACGTAAATAGCATAAACATTCAATTTCAACAGATGTTATTTCGAACAGTTGTTATAAGCTACTTTTTAAAACTTACGCAAGCCTGTTTCCTCTGCTATAAAATAGAAATGATGTAAGAATTTAAAAACAAATTGGAAAGTCCCGAAACTAGCAGTAGCAGCTCAATCAACATTTCTTTCCTTTTTAACATATTTCAGTGATTACAATACTACTAGTCTGTATTCATATAGGCAGCTTCTCCAAGGAATTCAGGCAATTTTTTCAGATAACAGTTCAGATGTTATACAGAATATGCTATTTTCTAGCAATAAATTGGGCACTTTGGTAAAGGATACTAATCCTTTTAGTCATAGAAGTCTATGCTTACTTACATTCAAATGCATGGCCAAAGTTGCCTGAAAAAAAATGCACACCTGCCAAGCAATCCGACTTTCGCTACAGGGAGCAGCTCAGGCATCCACATTATCTCATCTCTCATAGTGAGATATGTTGGACACATATTATTACATCGATTTTGTACACTCAAAGACACAAAATGAGGTTGCAAGGCAGCTGGGCCTAGAACAAAAGTTGATTTCCACGTCAGTGCACTCAGCCGCCTACCTCTCACTACAGTTCTAGAATGTAGATGTATATTTAGAGATAGCTCAGAGCTTTATGTCATGGATGCAAAGTAATTCCTCTGCCACTGAGCCTTAAAGCTTCACTAATCACCCAGGCCTGGAACATCCTTTCCTCCTATGAACTTTTATAGTATTTTCTTCTCTCTCTTAAGGAACTTACCACATGTGGTTCACATACTAATATGTAGCTCAATAAAGGTGAATCACATTTATTTATTTATATAGAGACATTTACCTTCCTTCTCCATTATTACTCTTTCAGGCTATGCACCACCTTACACATCGTTGTATATTTAGTAGCACTTAGAACAATGATCAGCAAATATTTGCTGAATGTATTCAATGTATATGCCATATGCAAGTATAAAAAAATCTTGGAATGTAAGTTTTATTGTATATTATGTAGCTCTCAGTTCATAATTCCTAAATAGATTGAGAAACCAACCTGGAAAGTAGAAAAGGAAAGCAAAAGAGCTTGCCAGCTGCGTCAGTTAACAAGATTTTACTACCATAAATAAGAAGGTAAAACTACAATCTCATCAAAACGTACGGTATATTATCTATTCCTATGGCTTCTTTATTGCCCAATTATTATAACTAATGTGCCAGTGTGACAGCCCATAACTATCTTATGATAAAACCCTAATATCTACTTGACATTGTAATTTAGATGAGACAGAATTGATAGAATTTATGTAGTACTCCCAATCTAGAATATACATACATAATCCAGAAATTACACATTGTATTTGTAAATAGAAGCCGTCTACTTTTTAAATAATGATTTTTTTTAAATCTCTTAAAGGTCAATTCATATTTATACTCACAGATAACTAAAGAATTTCTTTTTTTCCTCATCGGTGTTATGAGAGAGCTACTCAAATATCAAACAGAGACATACAAAATACAGGAAGATGTGTCTAAACACAAAAACTGAAAGAGTTACTTAAGTTAGGGGAAAAAATCGGTATAAAATTGGTATTTGGCATCACACACAGCAAATACGTGATTAAGTGAAGGTTCTACTTTTCAAATAAAGACTTATACTAAGTACTATGTGGTTCCCAAACATGAATCCACAGACCATAACATATTTTTCAGTGGTGGATAGCAAAATAAGAAAAATAAAAACAATGTATTGACTCTTCACTCAGATAAATTTATTTAATTTCATGTATTTTGTACTCCCAATCATTTCCTGTCATGATGGCACAGTTACGTTGCAAAATGTCCTTACTAAACAAAATTAAAACTTAATGACCATGCATTAGACCCCAACAGTTTTTAGAATAATAATCCATGAAATTCTGAAGCCTGAGGCACACTGATATACAAGGTCCCAACGGCAGGAAGCTCTAGGTAGAGAACTGTGAACCAGCAATGAAGTAGAAAACAGTGGAAGAGAAGTGGCTCCTCCAAATGGAGGGGCATCAGTCAAGGAGCTGAGCATGACATTCAGCAATCAGAAACAGTGCTCAAATTGCAAAAGAGACCCAGTGGGGAAATGAGGTGTAAGATGAGATTCATAGTATCTACTAACATCATGAAAACAGTGATCGCTTAATAAAATGCTGACACTGTGCTAGCTTCTGCCATTCCTGGAGGCTCAAGGCCAAGACAGGCCTGCCCCATAGTGTAGCCATCATAGCCACAGGACAGACTCCACAAGGAAGAAGGCAGGGAGACGTAACAGTAGCTAGGAAGAGACAAGCCACAAGTGGGGAGACTCTACTTGTACTTCTACCTACTTTGAGACCTCTACTCATTTCAAAGACAGGAAAGTTCTCCACAGCCTTACCAAAACACAATCATGTAATATGAATAAGACCCCCAGCTACAACATCAAAATTAAAAACCTTTGGGCTTCAAATGATATCATGAAGAAAACGAAAAGGCAATCCACAAAATGGGAGAAAATATTTGCAAATCATAAATCTGATAAAGGACTTGTATCTAGAATATGTAAAGAACTCTTACAACTGACTCATAAAAAAAAAAAGACAACCAAATCTAAAAATGAACAAAAGATTTAAATATACATCACTCCAAAGAAAATATATAAATGGTCAATAAACAAACAAGAAGATGCTCAATGTTATTAGCCATCAGAGAAACGTAAATCAAAATCATAATGAGATAGCAAGCACTTCAAGCCACCAGGATAGCTATAATAAAAAAAAAAAAAAAACAATAAAAAGTATTGGTGCAGAGGATGTAGAGAAATTGGAACTCCCATACAGTGCTGATGGGAATGCAGAATGGTACAGCCGCTTTGGAAAACAGTCTGGCAGTTCCTTAAAACATTAAACATAGAGGTACCGTATGGCCTCAGTGATCCCATTCCTAGATATATAATGAAGAGAAATGAAAACACACATGCACACAAAAACTCACACACAAATGTTTAGAGCAGCATTACCCAAATGTCCATCAACTGACCAACGGAGAAACAAAATGAGGTAAACTCACAAGAGAATATTATTCAGCCACAAAAAGAAATGAAATACTAATACATGGTACGACAGGAATGAACTCTGAAAATATTATGCTAAGTGAAAAAAGTTAGTCACAGAAGACTACATATTGTATGATTCTATTTATTTAAAATATCCAGTATGGGCAAATTTATAAAGACAGAAATACATTAGTGGTTACTTGGGCCAGGGGTAGGTGAGAATTGACTGACTAAGCTTGTGGGATTTGCTTTAGGAGGGACGAAAACGTCCTGGAACTAGGTAGTAGTGATGGCTACAAAACCCTGGGAAAACACTAAAAACCACTGAATTTTATACTTTCAATAAATGAAATGTATGGTATGTGAATTATATTTCAATACTACTGCCTAAAAAACAAACAAACAAAAACCCAAGCAGCTGTGGTTCTGAGAGAGGACAGTGAGGTTCCAGCAGTGAAAAGAAAATATATACAACAGTGAAAAAAGGAACCTGGTGTCTCACACAGTAAAGTATCCCGAAAGGTGATTCCTTTAAATTCTTACTACCATGAAGACATTAACTCTTCTCTTTTGGTTCACTTGGTTTTTGCTTATCTGTTTCTTTCTCACACAAGTAACACGCAAGAAACAAAAGACTTCCATTCTTCCCAAGCACTGACACTTCCTAAACCTTTAATTGTAAAATAATCTCTCAACTTCTCCAAGTGTCCCCATCTGTAAAACCAGAAGATTAATTAATGCCTGTTCTAGGGGCCTCACAGAGCTGCAGGACAGATCAAATTAGAAAACGGACAGAACTAGCTGAGGTTATAGTACCATGTTAAAGAGAGGGGAGGGTAGGGGATGCCTTTGTCTGGGTTTCTTTGTCTGGGTTTCTGGCTTGAGCTAGGGAGGAGGAAGGAAGCCAGGGAAAATCTTAGGAGACAATGGAGAAAAGAATATCAGCAGCGTCAAAAGCTACATAGAGGTCAGGTAAGGTGAAGAAAGAAATGTACAACTCACAGGTCCACGGTGACCTGGGCAAGGAGGGTTTCAGTGGAGCATTGGAAACTGAATTCAGTGATGGGATGAGCAGTGAATAGCTAATAAGGAAAAAAAAAAAAAAAAAACCCCAAAGGAAACCATACACATTACAAGGGCACACTACACCAATCCTCACCAGCATGTTCACTCCTTACAAAAGGAAAGGAAAAAGTAAGAAGACTCTCCCCTGATGCATCAAAGAATAAAAGAGATTAGGAATCACTCACATAAACAGCACATACATTTGCACTAATGTAGCCCAATTTAAAGTTACCAGAAATAAACTAAAATATGTTGTTAATATTCATATACACTCTCCAACTGCCCACACAACATGAGATTAAGAAAACAGTGTCAGCCTTTAACTGCAGGCACACTCGGAATGATCTAAGCACACAAGGCCCCACTAAAATCATTCCCCGCCCCACTTCCACCACAAAATATTAATGAAAGAAGAAATAAACCGTTACATTGCAGTTAGCACAGTTGCTTAAACCCTGTTAGAATCTAGGTTTCACCACTGATCTAAAAGACAAAAGAGCAGGCAGGTTCATTAGATGACCTGATGACTCCTTAAGCTGAAGTGAACTAGAAAAGCCCTAAGAACCTTTAAGATTTGAATTTCAATTTATTGCAATATCTCCCCTTCAGAAAAAAATAACACACACTATTTTATGCTTCTTTGTAAACACGCCTCTCCCCTGACACATGGCCCCATGTCCAGAATGGAGTAAATAGCCAAATTTTGTGGGCAACAGAGTTCAAGAGTAAAAGAATGAGCAA